GGCTGGGGGCCCCGCCGGCACAAGCAGCCACCACCCAGAGCAGCTGCTGGGCGAGAGGGTGCTCCCTGTCTCCGGTGGAGAAGGAGCCCGTGCCTCCTCCTACGGCCGAGCCAGCGTGCCCATGCAGTCCCCGGGCTGCTAACGTCTGCTCGGCGCCGGTCCGGCCCCAGTGCTGCGACTTGTGCTACGAGGCCCTTACTGCGACTGCACAGGAACCGCTGGGTTCTTCAGGGGGGTCGGGAGGGTGGTTTGCACAGCGAGTGGGCCAGGAAAGGGGTTTGCTCCTGCTGGGTGCAAACGTGAAGGTTTCTTTGAATAAGGTTTTGAAAAGACCCAGCAATCCAAGTCCTGTCTGTCAAATTCAGAAAGGAGCTGGAGGTGCTTCTGGAGGAGAAGAGAATACCAAGACACAGGCACTATATATAGACGTCCGTGTGAAGGTGGCGACGTTGGAGTGCAGCGTATTTTTATCCCGATAGAGGTGTGATCTGTCTCTCTCCCGTGAAATGCTGGAGGGGGGTGTTACAGCACTCGCTTCATGCGAAGAGAAAATAGCCAAAGTCACAGTTAAATTTGTGTGGTCTGTGTTTCCAAAGGCAAGCTGGCGTACCCGGAATTTTTCTCCTCTGGCTCACTGCCCTGTATTTGTTGCATGACAAAGTTCATCATCCAAGTAGCTGTTTAGTGGCCTGGACGGATTTTTGCCGTGTGTACGGTACGGTTCAGGTCTGCTGCTCATCAGAGAAGTACGGGAGCTGTGCGCATGCCTCAGCACACACGATCTTTCTGCTCTCTCACCAGCGGCAAAGCCGCGTTCAGCGTACGCTGGGGCTGAAGCCAGATAAGAAAGATGCTTCAGCACAGGACGTAACCACATCTGGCACATGCCAGGGGCGGTTCCGAGGAGTTCAAAGGCTTCAGCGCAGATTAGTTACGCATTCACCTCCTAGCAAATCCTTTTATTCTTAAATTCCAGACAGTTTATTATGTGGAGATCCTGAAAATCCAAAGTTCCCATCCTCTCGGCACAGGTGACGCCAGGCG